AAAAGCTATAAGACCATTCCACGTGCGCCCCTGGTATCCCGGTGCTAATGCGCTAGCATGGTTGCACACCGCGTCCTTCGTGAAAATTTGGTTGTTTTCCTCAGAACCTTGCACCGAGTGACCCTGGTAGAAGGGGGGGGGGGCTTTTTGGGTCGAGTTCATCTTTAGTGGGTCCCGAACCCACCAAAGACATTTCGAGGGTGAATCTCCCCTGGGCGACTGGGAGGTGCGTTGGGTGGGACCCGCACGTCTCAACCAGCCAATCCCCCAACCAGTAGTTCCTTCAAGCTAGTGGGAAATGACGAGGGCCCCTAGGGGGGGTTATGTCTCCCTTTCCCATTTCATGTTGACCCAGGAATAATCCTGGGTCGACACTAGGGAAGTTTACGGCATCATTCCTCACAGCAGAGTCTACAGACTCCACTGCTCTGACGGTGGCAGGGCCTTCGGCTCAAGCACAAGTCCCCGGATCACTCCGGCCTCCTTAAGCCTTTGCCTCAGACGGCGAAAGCCGGATCCGGATCTTTCCAGAAAACCACCACAAGCCCTGGAGAAATTTTGCGATCGGTCCTTGAGAAGAACGATGGCGGAAAAGAATGGACAAGGAATCAACCCCTAGAACAGTGAGTCAAAATGTTGACAAGGCACGAAAAGAGCTTTCCCGACACCCACGGCTCCAAACAAGAAGCAACACGTAAAGATACCAACCCCCAAAAAAACCCTCCATCCAGCTCGGTGACCCCAGCGAATGTAACAAGGAAACCCTTAGAGTCGGCCAAAAAGGGCCACCAAACAAAAAGGCGAGTGTCGAGGCGTGGCATCTGGACCTTGAAAAAGGCGCAGCTTTATCAAAATGGGAACCCTGTGGAACCCTAAACAATATACAAAGGCAACCAACCCACCGACCTACCAACCTTCCAACCTTCCAACCTTCCAACCAACCAACCTACCAACCAATCAACCAACCACCCACCCACCCACCCACCCACCCCCCCACCCACCCACCCACCCAACCCCTCCCCCCCCACTGACCAATCGCTCACCTTCCGAAAATTCCACTCCAAGCCCAGGCTGCGAGAGCTTCGAGATCTTCTGCTCCAGGCGCTTCAGGTCCCAGTGCATCGCTGCCTGCAGGTGTTTTTTTCCGGGCTGAGCACAGCGAAAAAGATGGTTGAAGCTTTTCTAGGTCCTCCAGATTGGAGAGGTTAGAAGATACGAGGGTACCGTTTCTGTTTTTTTTCTGGTGTGTGTATTTTAGTGGGGGAACCCTCCCAACCAAGCAAGGGGTGAGAAAGGGCACCTAGCTGGGGGACCGAACCTTTTGCCGGATGAATGCCAAAGAGCATTTGTGTGTTTCCAAAAAGGTATGAAACAGCTAAGGTCACACGACAAGCCATGAATGAAGTGACTTCCTCTTGAAGTTCTCAGCAATTTGAGAGCAAAATCAAACGAGTTGAGGCAAAATTGAACTCGGAGGCCAAACATGTGATTATATCTACATACATACATACATACATACATACATAAATACATACATAAAGTACATACATACACACATACATTACATACATTACATACATTACATTACATTACATTACATTACATTACATTACATTACATTACATTACATTACATTACATTACATTACATTACATACATACATACATACATTACATACATACATACATACATACATACATTACATACATACATACATACATACATACATACATACATACATACATTACATACATACATACATACATACATACATAACATGCATAACATACATACATACATACATACATACATACATACATACATACATACATACATACATACATACATACCTTACATACATTACATACATTACATACATACATACATACATACATACATACATACATACATACATACATACATACATACATACATACATACATACATACATTACATACAACATACATACATTACATACATACATACATACATACATACATACATACATACATACATACATACATACATACATACATACATACTTTACATACATACATACATACATACATACATACATACATACATACATACATACATACATACATACATACATACATACATACATACATACATACATACATACATACATACATACATACATTACATTACATACATACATACATACATACATACATTTACATACATTTACATACATTTACATACATACATACATACATACATACATACATACATACATACATACATACATACATACATACATACATACATACATACATACATACATACATACATACATACATACATTACATAACATACATACATACATACATACATACATACATACATACATACATACATACATACATACATACATACATACATACATACATACATACATACATACATACATACATACATACATACATACATACATTAACATACATACATACATACATACATACATACATACATACATACATACATACATACATACATACATACATACATACATACATACATACATACATACATACATACATACATACATACATACATTACGTACATACATAATACATTACATACATACATACATACATACATACATACATACATACATACATACATACATACATACATACATACATACATACATACATACATACCATACATACCATACATACCATACATACATACATACATACATACATACATACATACATACATACATACATACATACATACATACATACATACATACATACCTTACATACATACATACATACATACATACATACATACATACATACATACATACATACATACATACATACATACATACATACATACATACATACATACATACATTACATACCATACATACATACATACATACATACAATTACATACATACAATTACATACATACAATTACATACATACAATTACATACATACAATTACATACATACATACATACATACATACATACATACATACATACATACATACATACATACATACTGTCAAGAGACGGCAAGGTGACGTCCCGTGGGACGCTGTGCACCGAACCCTCAAGCTTCAATACCAACCACGTAGAAAGGTGTATACGGACGATGCCGTTATAGCCGAACCCGTGTAAACGTTGTAAGGAAGAAGGAATGATAATCACAGCAGTAGTCCTGACCCTGCGGCGCAAGCGGTTGTTTTGCTCTTTGTGCCAATCACGGAGATCCGCAGTCACACATCGGATCTTGAACCTCAAATGTGTCTTGAGCCAAATGGCGATCAATGGAACTTGGGAAGCAACACCAACAAGGACCTCAGAACAGCTACCCAATTTCGGCACGGGGCCTAGAGGGTTTTCACATCCCCCATTTGGGTCGCATTGTTCATCATGCGGTCCAAACACCACAAAACGTTCCACTGGCCACGGCTTCAACTACGAAATCGTGTCGTGCATTCTTTTACTTGCTATCACTACACCGTTCATTCGTTGTGAAACATGCCGGGTTCGATTGTACGAAAAGTGAAACATTCATCCTCCAATCGAAGCACACATCCATATGCAGGTGTCTATAATACACTGTGGCCACTTCACTTGACCGCCAGTGAACATTCCAGCTGCCGCATTTGCGCATCGCGCAGCTGTCATCCATAAATGGGTTGGCCATAAATGTCCACCATACGCGCCCGCTTGTGATCGGTCTGCATATCTCCGGCAAAGAAACATCGGTGAGTAATCAATGCAAATCATAGCCATTCCAGATACCATGGACAATACATAAATAATGAAAAGATATCATCTATAAGGTAATAATTCCATCCATGAATATCCAGAGCGTCATAGTCGTCGGAATATGTAACCATGTACACACCCAATCATCTTGGACACATGAATATAAATCATGACATAAGTCGTTCCACCGAAACAGTGTCGATGTGACGCAAGTAAAAGATGGGGACTGACCCACATCGTACCGCAATCAGCATCTTCACGAAGCATACCTGTCCCCAATGGACAGCCTATGGGTACGTCGGCGGAACTCCTCGTCCAAGTTCTTCTGGGCTTCTCGTGCCCGGACACACTTCTTGTTGTAGTCCTCTGGCAACCAGTGCCCTTTCCGAAGGCACCAATCCAGCAGGGGTGTGTCGCATTTGTTCGGGTCGACGGCCGAGATGATGGCGCTCACGTTGACCGCGTAGCCATGCTTGCCAAGGTTTAGGCCATCCCTCACGAATGATATATACTTACAGTTGAAAGCTAGTGCAAAACATCTGAAAATAATATCACCCACCGGGTGCACTCGGTCCTTGACCAGGAGCTTCATTTCTTCCTTGGTGACATCGAGGATTCTTGCTGCAATCCACAGCTTGTAGAATGTGTATAGTCCCTCGCATTTGTTCACCATCATACGAATATATTCGTCACGCTCCTCAACCGATCGGAAGGCCCTTGTCCGAACATTCTCCGATTGAGAAATCTTCGTTATTGTTGATGGCAAAAGTATACCTTCCTGATCATGCTCAGTGATGTTGGGGTACCTCCTGAAGTCATTGTGGTAAGGGCAGCCCTCTCTCCCCTCGAGCTTGGCAATCATCGTTCTATCCTCACCACCTTCAAACATCCCCCACATCTTGGACAGCTGGAGTGCGATAAATCCTGCCATGTACTGAGCCTCACGCGGCTCGTCAAGGCAGATCGCCATCCGTTGGGAACTTATAATGTCCCGTGACGTCAGATCGGTGTCGCGGTAATGCCAACCGCCGTCTTCTTCTTCTGACGCATAGCCGGATGTATATCCTTGCGTGTCCATGTCGTCATCTTCTCCCGGAACTTCCTCCGCTTCGTCCTCATCCTCCTGTGCTGCCGCATCGTGGTTAGCTTCTTCCTGTGCACGCCTGGCATCTCCAGAGACGTTGGGGTTCTGGTTGTCCTCCTCGTCATCGGATTTGATGTGAATGTAGTATCTTCCGATGGAGATCAGTTGTGCCTCGCACTCCAGGCATAAGCAGAAGCAGGTGGGGATCGCGGTCGCACATGATGGACATATCGGCACCTCAGTCCTTCCCATGTCTCATCATTCAGGATGACGACTTTGCTGACTTCGTCCCGGACCTCGTTGACCTGTGCGTTGAACTCTTCCATCTTGTTGTTTCGATAGAGTTCGCAAGCACGGTTAACCATGTCAACGATGTAGTGTAGATTGTCAGCACCTGTCTCGGTCTCCGGCATCCTCTCGCTGATCTTTGCGACGTTCTGGAGGAACATCGCAGCCGACTCTTGGGAAGAGTTGACAAAGCCAGGGCAGATCTCGTTCTCCACACACTTCGAGTACGCCCTCTTGATGTCAGCGTACTCCAGGCGCTTCCCTCCATTGCTTTTGCCAATCCAAATGGACTTGACCTCATAGAACGGGATCACGTCAAAGACCATAAAAGTCCCATTAGCCGCGACTCCAGCCCCATACCGCGCGAGGGTTGCACTGGGAATATAGATGATCGCAATCGGATCCCCTCTCCTCACGTTCCGTAGCGTTGTCTTCGTCGCCACGTTCATCTCATCCCATGGAGCAAACGCCCCGAAGTGCAGTGCTAGCCTGTTACCGCCATCGATTCCGCCGGGGACTAGCCCACAGCGTACGATGCTTGGCAGGTTTTCCACATACGTCACATGGAATGCTCCTCCGAGAGTATCACCCATTCTTGCGGAATACCTATTCGCCAGTGCGGATGAGCTCATGAATCCAAAATCACTGTGACCGGTTGTGACTCGGATGCACCAAGGTCTGTACCATCCATCGCATCTGTTGAACATCCTGTCGATGTCGTCCCGATCCACGCCAGCCTTGGTCATTTCCTCTCTGGCTGCCCTCGTGTCGTTCGGGTTCATGATGCTCGGAAACCTTGCTGCCAGAACCTGGAATCTCGACTTCTTGCTTCCGGATTCCTGCCACTTGATCACCTCCATGATGCCCATGTATCGTTTCGCTCTCGAGGTGTTGGGTGGGAATATGTCGTTGTTTCGGTCGTCAATGACAGCATCAATGTCGACCCATCCACCCTCGTCGCACCTGAAAGCACTTCCTCGGCAATTGCCGATCTTGTGTCG